TAAATACAGTATGTCGAATCGGAATGGGCAATATTACAAGTCCCCTGAAAAGTACTACTATACTGGAATATTGACATTTTATAAACTAATAGATGTAATTGCCCTATTAATTTTCAGATAAGCACCAACTAGTAATAAATGAAGTGTGTCATGCTTCAAATAGCTCTCATTGTTTTATCATCTAAGACTAATAGGCAAAAATGAAAAATTTTGACTTTGGTTCCAGACTCAACCCAGAGAGTTCATATATGTTTATTAGCACCCTGTGGGTCTTGGCTGGTTATTGAGTTAAAAGCCGAGAGACCACTCCTTTTAGGCCTTGAAGACATAGTCACGGAATGCTTAATTTTCTAAAAATACAACCATTAAATATCGCTTTGGCTGTCCATAACAGTCTTCTCTCTTTTGTTGAAAGATAGAGAATCTGTTTGCTCCCTAGAGGCACAGACCAACTATTTTATTCAGTTTTTCAAGAATAAGAAATATATGAATAGCATGTTATTTTTAAAGAAGGGAGTACCGTCTTTTCATAGTCTTCTCCATAGAATTACTCTAATAGAACTTCAGCTAGATTTGTTTCCAAAGGAGACAGATCCATAGTTTCAGATTGCTTGGCCACCCTGACCAATGACCTCTTCAGGGCATATGTCTGCAACTGCAGTATTAGCTAAGTTTTGATTCAGCTTGTGTCAGGCATGGAAAATTGTTTCCCAAAACAAATACGTTTTGCCTTTTGAAAACTCTGTTCAAAAGTTCTTTCTCATGTTGGGCCAACATCTGACTTCCTGGGAAGGCAATATAACTTTGTAATGCCCATGGAAATCAGACAGAATCAGATTCATTATTTCTGAGGGCTAGCATGGAGACTTTAGGCAAGTAGTTGCCTCAGTTTCCTTATCTGTAAAATGGGAATGATGGCCATTTCAAGGGTTCGTTGACAAAATTAAGTGGCATAGTCTATGTAAAGCACCAGAGATGATGGTATCTTGCTTTCAGTGGTCCTCAGCATGGTTGTCATCTGAAATTTTGCCCCTTGTGCTAGTTATGTCCATTTAAATCTTGCAGAAGTCTGAATTTCTTTCCAACTCAGCTGTCATGTCTTTTTGTCACCCTTAAACTGGCCCTTAAATGACATGATTTGTTGAGTTTCTTCAACAAAGAAATGCCATTGAGTTTGTTTCTCTTGAAAGGTGAGACCCAGAAGAAACAAAGTGCTTCAGAGTAGCCTTAACCAGGATAAAATGAAGCAGGGCCATCACCTACCATTAATGCATCTTAAAGTCAAAATAATCTGCTTGCCTCTTCCCTTTTGTGGGCAAGGCCATATTATGCAGTTAGTCAAAATAATGTGAGAGTATTTTCCACAATATTAGACATTTTCAGTGTGAAACTTTGAGCTCTTGTGCATTTTGTTCATGTGAATTATCTCATCATGTATGTCGTATGGGTGATTAGTGCTCTGTGTCAGGGTACTATCAAATCTTTTGGAATTTTCTGTGCCTGATTTTTCACAAAGTACTTGTATTCTTTTGTATTCAAAGTACTTTGTGTTTTCTTACCTTTCCTTTTTTTAAGTGGTTATGGCCAGGGCGTGTTTTCTAAAGATATGCTTTCAACTTCCATCAGGATCCTCTTTTGTTTGCCTCTAAAGAAGGGTGATTTGATGAGGGAAAATTTAATGATGACAAAATAAATGCAATCTTAAAGATACATTGCTGAAATGCTGCATTTGACCTTGAAAACTTTGAAATCCTTTCAGTTCTCTTTTCACAACTCTTACTAGTCAGCAGATTGTTGAAGATAAAATTATTCATACAATTCTCATTCTATTATGAATTAAAACCATTAAGTATTTAATGTCTATTATATATCACTGATTTCTATATGTAGATGTGTATTTATTTTATTCATACATGTGATTGTTTGCATTACTTTGTGTACAGAGAGCTAGACATGTGGAAATCACTGTTTCGTATTTATTGAATAACTATGCAGTTTTAAGTGCTGTATTTTTTAAATTAAATTATCTAGATTATTTTATTTGGTTAAATATTTTTCTTTACAATGTTAACATAGGCTTTGAGTTACATTTATCAGGCTTTTTGTCAAAGGGACTGCCAAAACGCTCTAAAGTACGTGCCTTATAGTTCTGAACTTTACCTACAGATTGGCAATAAGAGGCTTGTAAAACTCATATATGAGGTCTGCGTAGTGTTAATGTTTGAGATTTATTTCCCCCCAAAGGTTCATAAACAGTATTGACAAATATATTACACACTGCAATTTTGGTATGGTCATGATGTAGAAGGGGAGGTTTAGAAGGTTTAAATAAACATTTAATTTCTTAGACATTGTACAGCAAGAGTCCTCTTAGTGACTAGCATCAATTTATTTTCATCGAGTATATGCTAAAGAATCGTGATATGTGTCTCTCCTAAAGAACTTAGTAAAAAAGCAATTATAAAATAAACCTGGATTTTTTTCTTTTTACCATTAGTTGGTAGACTTGTCCTTTATGGAGCCACATAAAGAACAAATGAAGTCATATTTTCATCATTGAAATGTGCTTCATATCCTTAAAGCTTGCAGTCTCTAAATGACTTTTCAAAACTTGTGTATTTTAGGATTCTTGTTTATTTTGAGAAGTGATTTGCTTGATGTTTTTGGTGTTGTATTTTACTACCAAGGATTATCTGTTGAGCTCGTGTTTTTCCACTTGATACATGCTTCTTACTTCAGATTAAAAATAATGGATGTCTGTTTTGTAATTTGTCTTACTATTAAGAAAGTTTGCATCGGCTATGGTGAGACTCTATAAGAATAGATAAGACTAGGTCATTTTCCCTATGGAGTTCACCTTGTAGTCAGTAAGATAATTTCAGATAGATGGCTAGGATATGAAGTAATACATGCTGTAATGGAATTATGTACAAAGTGCAGTGAAAGCACAGTTGAGGTGAAAATCAGTTTCTTGATACATTATGTAACATTGTTACCAACCGATGGTACAAACCACAGGAATAATTGTGGGAAGAGAGAAGTGGTGAAAATAGTTAAATCTCTTAGAAAAGATTTCAATAAAAAGACATTCTTTAGAATTCTGATTTTTCATCAGGTAATAAGGCTATATCTTTTTAGTTTGGATATGATTTTTTCCTAATGCTGAGTATCTCTAATTTTAAATATAGAGATACCTATTTGCTCTGAAGAGGGACCAAATCACATGTATTCATAAATACCTATGACTCTGGGCAACATCTTTTAAAAATACATAGTTTTGTGTGATTTGAAACAATTACTTGATTTGTCCAAAAATTCACTGAGCATCAACCATGTGCTAGGTCCTATACAACATGATTAGCATAAAGAAAGATGGATTTTGCTGTCATCTAATCATTAAATCCCTTGAGTAAAAAGGTCATTGTGATATTTTTCTGTTGAAATAGTGTCTCAGATACATGTACCTAGACTTGTAGCAATAAGTCACTTTTTGTATGGAGATATCACCAGAGTAAAAGTTACATGTTTTTTAATCCAGAATTATTACTTCATGTTAATATTCCATAGTGCTTTTTGTATCTTTGGAATTCAAGCATGAATGGATGAGTTTATCTATATTGATAGCTAACATAATAGTATCAATTGCATTTTATGGCTTAAAAGTAATGCAAAAGATACTAGTAGAATTAAAAACATTGAAAGTGTCTCCATGCCAGGCCATGACTATCCTGGGTATGGAATGGTCTGTTTGATGTTTTCTTGGTTCATGATTATTTTTGCAGCTGTTACTTAGCTGACATGTTCCAAGTTGAATATTGAAACAAGAAGTAGAGCAGATTAGGTGTACCCCAAAATGTACTGTGGGGTTGCTTTGTGGTATGTAGATCTGGTGTTATTTTCTTCCATATGAGATTTCTTTTAGGAAAGATTATGTCAGTATCACCTAGGGAAATTCTTTTCAAACTTTTTTTTTTTAATATCCCCAAGTTCAACAAGATCTCTCGAATCCAACAGCTGATTGAAGGGAGGAGGGGATCCCATCTGCTTATTCCCTCCAGTACCCTTTCCCCACATCCCCTCCACACTTCTGTAATCCAATCAGCTGGTGGTGAAGTCAGGGAATGCTCAGGCTTCTGTTGCCAGCCCATGTAAGGAAACATGAATGGAAAGGAAAACTTTGCTTGCATCTGAAAAGTAACATTACAGAGGAGGATAAGAAAACCACCAGAGAGCTGTGGAAGTAAGCAGAGATCCTTGCAGCCCCCTGTAAAGTTTTCTCTCACAGTGGGTACTCTGTAGAGAAAAAAACAAATCATGTTCCATTTTTGCTTGGTGATTTCTGTTTGTTTGGTTTTTATTAAAAATCTCCAATTAAGATATGTCTGCTAATTAGGCATTTCAAATTGCATACTATGCAATGGTCTGGTTGAAAAATGTATTTTTTCCGTTTGTGAGGGGGGGAGAAAATATATTTCATTACACTTTTTAATTTTAACCCAATAGGCAAGCAAAATATTGAAATCCATTTTACCCGAGAATTTCTTATGAATTAAAGGTAAAACAGGATTGATATACCATAACTGGCAAATTACAGTATATTGCAATGATTGTAAACTGATGCTTTTTTTTCTTCTTCTTTTTTTTTTTCTTTTGGACCAAAAAATAATGCATTTACATTGAAGTGAATCAAATATTTGAGGAAGAATATCCTTGATTGGTAAAAGTTCACCAATGTATGTGTCCTATTCCAAGGTTTCCTGCCTCACAATTAGGTCTTACTTTTCATTAAGGAAATAGGTCATGTAGTATATGTAGCCATAAAATGTGTAATTTGGCATAATTATCTCATTTTACATGCATATTGTCTGATTAATTTCAAAAAATGTGATAGTAGTTATTTGATGCATCTGGAATTTCCATTTCTAATACTGTTACAGATTTTAACATTGTGTTTTCTCTTTTTCTTTCTTCCCTCCCTGCTGCCCCTCTCCTCTCAACAGTCCTGGTACCTGGGCTAGCTTGGTTCCTTTCCAAGTGTCAAATAGGACACCCATCCTACCGGCAAATGTCCAAAATTATGGTTTGAACATAATTGGAGAACCTTTCCTTCAAGCAGAAACGAGCAACTGAGGGAAAAGAAATACAACAATAGCTTAAGAAATTTTTTTTAAAAAGGCAAAGAGGAAGACTGGACAAAACAAACAAAACAAAGGGAGAAAGGAAAGAAACTGAAGAAAGAAGATGATAGACCAGCAATTGCAGCACTTACAATCACTAATTCCCTTAAAGTTGAAACTATAATGACATTAAGAAGGGTCGATGATATTTCACTGATGGTAGATCGCAGCCCCTGCAATGTAGCCTTGTTACATGAAGTCCGCTGGGAAATAGATGTTCTGTCTCTATGACAATATATTTTAACTGACTTTCTAGATGCCTTAATATTTGCATGATAAGCTAGTTTTATTGGTTTAGTATTCTTGTTGTTTACGCATGGAATCACTATTCCTGGTTATCTCACCAACGAAGGCTAGGAGGCGGCGTCAGAGGTGCTGAGTGACAGAGCCATGAGCCAGCCATTTTATAAGCACTCTGATTTCTCAAAGTTAAGAAAAACATATATAAAATCTCTGTAGCCTTTAGTTATCAGTACAGATTTATTAAATTTTGGCCCTTAACCCAGCCTTTTCCAGTGTGTAACCCAGTTTGAAATCTCAAGAAAAGAAAAAAAAAAAAAAAAGGAAAAAAGAAAAAGAAAAAAAAAAACCAGTTTGAACACAAAGGCTATGGAAGAGATGCCTCTATGTAGGTGAAGTGTTATCTCTGCATGCAACAGTAAAAAGTAATATAATATTTTCCCCACAAAAGAACACTTAACAGAGGCAAGTGCAATTTATAAATTTATATCTAAAGGGGAATTGTGATTATAAGTCCTTCAGCCCTTGGACTCTAAATTGAGGGGATTAAAAAGAATTTAAAATAATTTTGAACGAATTTATTTTCCCCTCAGTTTTTGAGGGCATTTAAAAAGGCATTAAATCAAGACAAATCACGTGCTTGAGAAAAAAAACTAATGAAAACACAGCACTTATGTTGGTTTAGCTGCAGCCTCCTTGGAGGCAGAATTTATTTATTTAAAATTACTGGTTGCATCAAGAACCCATAGGGTGTACAAAAGGTTCTATAAAATCTGTATTACAGAGACAAAGAGGCAGGCAATCCATGTCACAAGGGTAACGCTTACAGTTTACAAACTGGGAATGCCAGGGTGTAGGATGTAAAAAAAAAAAACAAAAAAATGCACTCTTGAGAAAACACATGAAATCAGGGTGCTGAAAACTTGCATGGTGCTTTCAGACATTAGCCTTGTTCAACAAATTTCTTGTATTGACAGATCCGTAGTGTGCATGGGCAGACACATTTTGCCTCTATGTCTCTTAAAATTTTAATTAAAAATACTCTTTCCAGTAATCCTAATTTGCACGAAGATATTATGTCCACATTACGTGCCTTGCCTTGAAATCTAAAAAACAAAAACAAAAACAAAAAAAAACAAAAGTGACATCACTACACTTGTTTTGCTGCATTTATTATCATTTTAAATCTTTACCATTTTTATGACAAAATATTTTGTACTCCAGACGAAGAAAAACGTGTGACATCATGGATTTTTTAGACAGTTATAACCTTTATCTCACGTTTATAAAAGCATATCATGGCTGTGTATAGTTGCCGCTTATAAATTGTAATCGACCAGCAATATTTTCAGTATTTTGGTGTTTTTTCTATTAACCTTTCATGTTTTTCATCTTCCAATTAATATTTGGGGGGGAGGGGTTTCAAATTTATACGAATTATGCAATACCAAGTTTTGCCTATGTAGGTAGTGCTTTTAGCTGTATTGGTTATTATAGGTAAGTACACAGATTTAAAAAAAATAATGTATGCTTTTTTTTTTGTTTGTTTGTTTTAATTGACCAAAGTGGGTACTGCTATTTTTGCAGTGTGATGAGGTCCTTTTGTGTACTGAGAGATGGACAGGGGATTTTTTTTAATATACATATATATATTCTGGGGCGGGTGGGAGGATTTTTAACACTTAACAGTGTAGCTGTGAAGCAGTGCACCCTGACATGGGCCTGGGCTGCAAAGCGACTGTTCTGCCTACTGTGACAAACTTCAACTTACACAGGTTCCCCCTCTCTAATTTCCCACCTGGGGTGCAAGCTGAACTCATTTCTGGTTTAAAAACAACAAAATAGTAAGAACGAGCAAACACAACAAATTTTCCTAGAGGCAGACTTGGCTTTTTAAAAAAACTGTCTTACCTTATTTTAGTTGTTGGTAGTTTTTCATGAAAATTCCAGATCCACAGTGGAGAGTGAGTCTGTCTTATATTTAGCAAAGACATTTTTTGAAATGCCCCACCTCCCTCATAGGCAGCTACTGGCTGTCTCACACTTTTGAGGTTTAACACAGGAATCTGCTATCTCCTGCAAAACATATCTGACCAGCTGGAGGGGGTGCTCCCATATCCTTTCCCTGCCACATCCCTGCCTCATTTCATTTTATTAATGGTGGGATAGGATTTCTCTGTGACTTACTACTTCAAATGAATGGCAGCGCACTTGGATTTTTCTTTCTTTCTTTTTTTTTTTTTTTTTTTTTACTAGCCAGAGATTGAATGGAAGCTTGCTATTATTGAATGTATTTTTAAAATCAAAGTTCAGTTTTTAAGGAACAAAAGTAAATCTTTTTATTTTACCTGCCCTTTTAAACTGAGAACTAGAGCAGAGAGACAGATAGAATTTTAAGAAATTAACTTTCCTGTGGATGAATTAGACCTATTGGATACTGAAGGGATTTTTTTTTTTTTAAGGGTTGGTACTTCAAATATATGTTTGATTTAGTTTCCCCTGAGGACTCGTGGTGAATGGAGGCTTGTTTTATTTTGGCCTCCCCTCACCCAACCCCAGGTCCCATTGAGTGAATTCATTACTAGAGTGAGAATCTTTCTGAATTAGTGACACACGGTAGGCTGTCTTGAGGAGCCTTCTACTCCCATTCCCCAGGCCATCGCCTAATAAACTGTCAGTTGTTCTCACAGCATATCATTTAATAATGAATACCTTAGAACAATGCTTATGGGCCTGCGAATTGTATTGGACTAGCCCATTCAGTTTGATAGCCCATATGCTGGATAGCACAGCAGGATCCCCAAGTGCAAGTTCCAGAGGAAGTCCCATCGTGGCTGTGATACTTGCCCTGCAGACAGCAGATCCTCTCAGCCAAGCTCTCCATGTACCTTTGACCTTCTAGGTGAACAACTCAACCTCACGAGACACACAGTATTCTCTACAGGCAGACTTGCTCTCTTTTTTTTTTTTTGCCAGTGAATGAGCAGTTGTAGCGAAATTAAGTGACGCACTGTGGATATTCCTGCCTGCCTCTTGAATACAAAGGCCTAGTGCAAGTGTTGCTTTTTCTCTTTTCTTTTCAAATCAATTTTTTCTTCTTTCCTTTTCAGATGAACCTATTAAAAGTACTACTATATATAAAATCTCAAATCCATTTTTCGACCTTCTCCTTTTCTTTTACCAGGAAGTATATTCTGAGGAAGGGCCCCACTTCTGCAGGTCTTGCACGCCCCTCCCTTAACCCAGGACTGTAGAGCTTCAGGATGGTGAAGGTCACCCAGCAAGGGCATCCATAGGGGGTGGTGTCTTCAGCCACCAGTTTGTGGCACTGTCCAGTCTTTGTTGTGTTGCTTTGCAGCCCACCATTCACAGTGCCTCTGAAGCATGTTTCCCCTGGAGTGACGTGAGCATTTGAGGCTTGTCTAAGGAAAAAAAGAAAAAAAAAAAAAAAACCTGAAAGGCAGTGAAGGAAACTGTACATAAAGACATGGCAAGAATTTTAATTATAGCAATAGAGTTATCGGGTAATGTTCGGGTGGGCAGCTCCATTAAAAAATATGTGAATGAATCTGTGAAGCTGTAAGTAGCAAGAAGAATGGCAGGTCCTCTTAACGAACCGCCTACCTTGTAGACAGTAATTTGTACACTGTATAGTTTTGTTAAGAATTTTTTTTTAAATTAAAATTCCCATGTTTGTAAAGCTAACTTTTTAACAATGATAATGGAACTGTATGTTGTTTCCATTTTTAAAGTAAACAAGAATATTCCTTGTTTAGAGACTGGACTTGAGTTAAAACTCTCCAGGCTCTTAAGTTATGTATTAAAAAAAGAATCTGTCCATGTTAGGAGATATTTCACAGATTCCTGTGCTTGAAAAGCATAGGACACTAATCCTTTAAAAAAAGTGTAAATGGAGAAAAGTTATATTTTATGAAGGTTATTTTGTTGTATTTAGTATTGGAAAAGTTGGTTTTCAGAGCATTTCAGAATGTCGGAAGCACCACTGTCTTTTTATTAGTATATAAGGCCTTTAGCAAAAGTTTTTGTGATTATTACGTGATGGTATTTAAGATTAAGTTTCACAGAGCATTCAAGATAGGCAGAAGACGAAAATAGTGCTATGTCTCATATAATGTGTCCTCAGGGAGCAGAATCTTGGATTTGTGACTTGTAGCTTCAAAAGGACTCAACAAAAGAGATTGCACAGGAACATCTTCAGCAGTGTGACAGCAGGACATGTTCTCTACCTAGACTCAGAATCTATGTACTGTGTGAAACGATGAAGGCTGCAGAAAGTTATCCCATATTCAGTGTACAGTATTCATCCTTAATGAAACAACTCTACAATATTGCTGGCAGATAGGCCCAAAGCATGACATTCAATATAGTTTACATGTTCCTGTCAAGGTCTTTTGTTAACATTAACCAGCTGCATGCTTCCTGGACTTTTAAGAAATTGGGTTTCTACAGAAAACTTTTTTTTTTTAAATGTGCAGGCTATTCAAGTTCAATAGTAAAAGCTCAAAATTGAATGTTCTACTCCATGCTGAAGGAGCTGAAAGCTACCTTCTTCATATTTTGCACTTTCTGGTAGTTCCCCTGTTTTTTCTAATTCCTTAAAATTGTGTGGGTGGAGTGGAGCCCTGCAATTGGGGGGTAACATGGACCACTGATTTTGCCCTTTGACCCTGCACAATGACCTTTGCATCAGCCAAACTCATTGCCATGACAACTCTTTGTACTGTGTCCGTGCCACAGATCTGTTGGTCACATTGTTAATAGTAAAGGGGACAATGTTGGAGACGGTCAATTTTTACATTTTTTGTTGCAATTTTTTCTTCAATGGTTGTAAGTAGTTTTTTTTTTTTTTTAAATAATAAAAGGGTTCACTAGTTAATACTCTTTAGAAATATCTGTGTGTTGCAATTCAAATGTATGTTGAGATTGTGAAAAGTGCTTCAGTGCCACTAGCCTACCAGGACACTAGATTAAGCCTTGGATAACTTTTATTGCATGATACAGTACCAGTAACAAAAAGTGGCCTAAATACATGAGAAGCAGTGTAAGCTAGTGACACTAAAGCTAGTCTTGTATTACTGTATTTTTGACAGAATGGCTTTGAAAACTGTGCTACAGGGACTGATGTGGCAAATATATCTCTTTATGCAGAAGGAAGTCTTTTTTTTTTTAAAGAAGTATGGCTTATTATGCATTCTTCATCGAGGGCATTGAAGTTGCATGGACTGATAAAAGTTGATGCAAAACGAGAAAGAAACAAAAAAACAAAAAAACCAGCAAAATGTTTACCAAAAAACTCAAACAAATGAGCA